CTCCCTCCGAGGGGAGAAGGGTCAAAATGTGTCCTTGCGTCCAAAATGACGCCAAAACGGAAGGCATTTCCATTTTCTCATGTGAAACTCAGGGTGGCATCCATTATTGCTTCATACACTGTCACCTTTTGGCGCTCCTGGTGAATTTCCGCACTGTGCGGAGGCACATGTGGCATATGCTTAAGGCCGGCCCTGATTGTGAGAACCTTGTTTCTTTGAAAGATTGCATGAGGCTTCTAGCTCGAGCCATAAATCGATGATGTGGTTTACATGTCAGGTAAACTTTAAGGTATAAATTCTTTTCTTCTTAGCATAGGGCTCTGCTAAGGAAAAAAAAAACTACTACAGATCTGAAGAAATTCGATAAGGGCATATCATGCGCAATAAGAGCTTACCAATGAAGAGTATGTAGATATTTACTTGTCGATGTCTTCGTAGGAAAAGATGAGCAGGAAATTTGCATTGTATCCAACTGATCGAAGACCTACTCATGCATCTGCTTTGTTACGAGGTAAATTAAGTCCTTTGAGGTACGCACGATCATTTAAAAAGTCAGATGCATCTCTAAGACAACTTCAGGATGAGAATGCGAAGATAACTTTCTTCGCCTTTGGCTGAAAATAAATATGGGCTTAAGTATTAGATAAAGAATATGCGAATAATTCCACCTCTGTATTGCGAAAAAGCACTGAAGCGCTCTGTTTTCTCATATACACATTCAGGATGTCCGTCACTTTAAATTTTTTAGTTATTCATGGGTTTTTAATATAGTGGTAATTCGTAAATGAAAAGCAGCATTAGTCATTAGGATTTTCTGTTAAAGCGTTTAAATTACTAATCATTTAACACTATTCAATTGAGCAAAGGCTTCCTGATCAAATGAAGTTTGGTCTACTGCGGTCGTCTGACACTCGTGGAAAGAAAGGGTGAAATGGCACTCTTCTGCTCCAACCAATCCCACAGTTGAAAGCAGAAGACTGCCGGTGATTGACTGCCCGCCCCAATATTCTAAGCACTACTGACGTCATTCTGGTAAGTGAGATGTTAATTCGGAGCTTCCTCGCCAGGTCTCTCGGGAAGATGTATATAAAATACAGTGCCCTGCGAGAATAAACTGAACACCCCTGTGAACAAACTTGATTAATCTTTGATACAACAGTCCAAAGGACGACATACCGTATTTAGTATGCGGCCGAATGACATGCTACCTCATGAAACTAAAATCCAAAGGACCACATGAACTTAGTATCAAAGACTAGTTCACTATCAGGGATGTTCATTTTATTCTTTTTGGGCACTGTAGAATAAACTATTTTAAATGAAATAAAAGAATCAATGCATTTTAACATTTGGGAGGTCAGACGACAAAAGGCGCCTAACCCAGTTAAGGGGTTAACATTCAGCTTTTTAATTAAGTGTTTTCCCATGCTTTCTTATTTCATTTAAGAACCTTTTCAAGGAAAGGAACTCATCTGACACCCTGTAGCTAACAAAAGAAAACAGCTGTCCAAGCAGAACTGTCATTTGGTGGCTGAAAATATGCTCATTATCATGCCACTTCCTCTTGAAATGTCATATCTGACTCCAAAAGACAGACCAACGCTCACTCATGAATGTTGGGGCATTTCATCTGTCATAACCATGATGCACAAGCGGGATAGGAAAAAAAATTCTTTATTTGAAATTATATTCCATCCTTGCCGATTGGTTGTGTATTCTTGTCCATGAATTTCTTCATCTCAGGTTAAACGAAGGAAATAAAAATTAAATTTTCTGAGAGAATGCTCGTCGTAATCTTATTCTGAAACACAAACAGGTCCTTCAGTGATAGACGGTATCTCCTTCTGAAATGCCCAACATGGATGCATCCACATGAAGAGGAAGAGGGATTTCAGAGAAGTTTCTGGAATACGGCATGACATTCGCATAAGAGACTGGCATCGGTGGAACGAAAGCCGAGGCGGAGAACCTGTCCAGCTTTCGAGCCCTCTCGCCTTCGTCATCGCTTATTTCCATGTCCAACTCCGAACCGTCCACCGCAGTCTTCTTCTTGAGACTCTCCAACTGCTGCACGAAGAACTCGGAGATGTTGCCTTTCCCGGCACCACGGCTCTTTCCATCGCCGCTCCCGTCCTTCTGCTGCTTCCGCTTCAGGTAAGTTTGCCGGAGATTGGGGAGCCGCCCTATCATGGGCAACTTTCGCCAGTCCTTCCCTTGCCCATCGTTTTGAGAACTCTCTTGTGCCTCTTCGACTTGACCACCTCCACTTTTGCTCGAACTCCCTTTCCCACTGCTCAACGAGAGGGACAGCTTCGGACCTTTGGATATGGATTCTTGGTGCTTCCCTTCTTCGTCTGGCTTCGAAGACTGCATTTTCTTGGCATCATCACTTCTACTCCTACTTCTCCCGACGTGGGATTCGTTCCAGTAGTCAGAGTCGTCTGCTTTCTTCCTCTCGTGGCTGCTTGAACCGTCACGATGTCTCTTATCTCGGCCACTGCTGGAATCCCTAGATTTTTCACTATGCTTCTTATTCTTCTCCTTCAACTTCACTTTTAAACTTTCCAACTCTGGATCTTTGTCAACTTTGTTGCAAGAAAACAGTTCTTCCAAGGTCTTTCTCTCCCCAACAGTTTCTCGTTTTCGCTCCTTTAGGCTCTTTTCCAACTTTTCCGTTGAATTGTCATCATCTCTCTTCCCCATACAATCAATTTTTGTTGGAGCATGTTCGACTGCATTACCATATTCTGTGTCCTTGGTTCCTCTTAGATTTTCTGATTCTGATGTGACCATTAATTTCGTGTTCTGAGTCAGAGTCTCTTTGGCTTTTTTCATATCGGCTTCCCATTCAGCTTCATAGCCAGGCATAATTTCCAATACCTTCTGGTATGCTTCAAGGTGTTGTGAGCTCTTTAGATGCTTCAGCGCCAATTCTTCTTCTGTGATCCACACCTTGCACAGCTCACAGTAGATGGCGACATATGAGCGCAGGAACTGCGTCCCAACAAATGGCTGCCGCTGGTTCTTGATCGGAAGATAAATTTCCTGGAATGACACTTTGTCACCCGAAGGAGCCTTTGAGTTCTCCTTTTGCTTCTCCATATGATCTTTTGTCATCAGATGTGCCATAAATGAATTGACCGTTGGAGCAAAGACCTTGCAAGCCTTACACCAGTGCTCTGAACGATCAAAAAACACCAGCGGATAAACAACATCGCCATTCTCATCATAATGGACAGGAGGTTGACTCAGCTTTTCTTCCTTGTCCTGTTTTTCGCTATTTTTTCTCACGTTCTCATTCTGCTTCTTTTGATTGGTTTTCACAAACATTTTTACTACATCTTCCGGCAATCCAACAAATTCATCCACTTTGAGAACTGTGTTAATCTTCTTTATGAGGGTTGCCATGTTGAGGATTTGGCCAACAACCTGTCTCTGACACTTGGTATTCTCTGCCAAGATTTCATTCTCACTCACAAGCTCCTTGGTTAGGTCATTCTTCCCAAGAGACTTCAGCACTTCCAACTGCTGCACTCGCAATTTGAGCAACTGGTTGCGTAGGTTGTCAATGTTCTTGGAGAATTGTTCGCGCTGAGATATGAGATTGCTGGAGGTCTTGCCTGTGGTGGGTTTTGCTGTGCTTCTCTCCTCCTCTTCCTCCTTGTCCTTAGCATCCTCCACTATGGACACAGGTTTCAGTTGACGTATTCCACCTGCCTGGTACTGGTCGAGTGTTGCAGAAACCGGGTGAGATGGGGGTGGCACAGGACCCTGAGGAGGAGGGGGAAAGGTCATATTCTGTGAGCTGGGGAATCTGGGTGTGGGTCCCAACATGGGCCATTGATGAGTGGTAACGTCTCCAATTCCTGGGGGAGGAACATGGAGGTTGGGGGGTGGTACACCAAAATTGACGGGTGTCACAAAACCAAGAGGTGGATTTCCGAAAGGCAATCCAGGTGAAGTTAAGAGTTGAGGAAGTGATGCTGCTGGTGGCGGTTGAGACATATCAACTGATTGTTCAAAAAATTTTCGCTTTGGTAAATTGTGTTCCGCAGGCAATGGCATCACAGGTGACTGAGATCTTGGTTTCAATTCCCCAGGTTGACTCGGCCTTCCGTCCACAGACCTATCTGAACGCGAAGAGCTGCTTTGCCGTCGACGTCGATTTGAGTTACGGGATGACTTGTAGCGATGCTGTTTCCTGGATTCACGAGATGAATCCGACTGCCTATCCCGCCGCCTCCTCCGACTAGGAGAAGGGCTTCTGCTTCGCACGTGCTGCCGCCGACTCCTACGATATGAAGGGGAGCGACTGGCATGCCTGTCATGCCTGTGTTGCTCTGCGGTAGGTGAGTGCCTAGATCGGTGTGCCAGTGATGACCTTCTCACTGGGCTTCTATCTCTTGCATGAGATGGTCTGGAAGACCGATGATGTGGACTCACATCTCTTCGATTTGATTTTAAGTCCAATGTTATGGCAAGACCCGCTTCTGAGTCGTCAATTATTCGTTGAGCAGGCGGTGAAGGAGTTGGGCGCCAGAGGGAATCTCTTTCCACCTTCTTTGAAAGAACCACTGATTTTTCCCCTTTTGTGACATAATTTGAGGTGACTGGTGGGGATTGCTGCTTATAAGAGTCATCTGACTCAACATCTGAACTGATTCTCGCATCTGAATCCATGTTTGCAGATTTTATCAACCCAATTTCGTTGCTTTCACCATAGAGAAAGTCGTCTTCCTCATCCCTTTTTAGCCGCTCCACTTCCTCCTTCACGAGTTTCGGAATGGCTCGTTCACTCACACCGCAGTGATTGGTAGCACCTGAGTGGGAACTTGCAATGGACTCGAGAAGTTCTAAATCCTGCAGGAGCTCATCATCATCTATGGTGTCAATGTCTCTCTGCACTACCGGGCGAAGGTGTTCTCTCACTGAACGCCTCTTGCTGTAAGAATTCATAGCTTTCATATGTTCTTCTCCTGTTCATTCACTTTCTCTCACTCTCACATGCTGTAATAACAAGCTTCTATCCTGCACAACACAAAACCTGAAAAATTAAGAAGACATAAACATCGTCTTTGGAATCCACCTTGCTGGAACTTCTGGCATTAGTAACATGGACAGGTTCATTTTTATTTCCGAACTCCATTATATGATAGTTGGCATCTTTCATTTGCCTTTTAGACTGGAAAGTATGCCCAACTAGCAAATTGAGATCTGCTGAAATGCTTTTGACTTCATGAAAAACACAGAATGAAACTAATATTCTGCAGGAATACAGGAGAGACAGGGATGAAATGCTACCATCAAGATTGAGTTCTGAATGGTGGATCTTTTCTTCTTTTTTGAAACATTGACCTATTTCGAGAAACTTTTATTTGATATGACTTACTCTCAGTTATAATAGTAATTGCCATGAATAGCTGGCTAAATAGATTATTATTTCAATTATTTTTCCTGCAACATATACCCAGGGAACTACTCTATTGAGAACTCATTCACTTTGGTCAGACATAATGTCATCAACCATTTGTATATTGGGAGGTGATGAATTAGAACACAAGGGGGAATCTTGTATCTAGCATAAAAATCTCAATTCTTCCTCCTCAACAATGTAAGTTGCAAGAGTGTGCAACAGAGACCACTTTTTAGAAAAAATGGTCAAACTCAACATTAGAAGGAATAATACCATCCAGATAGTTGTATTTCATGTTACTTCTGAGGATGACACACTCACTTCAGGTGTTTTGGGAATGCTGACACATTCATGCAACACTGCCTGACAGCTATTGTCTTGGAAGTCACAATGAAATCAAGAAACTCCAAGTGCTTGGCCAGCTGGTCATCAATGGAAGCACTGCTTTTCTTCACTCCTGGCATAGACGAAAACACTCCTTCACTGGGTACCTTACATTATGGGAAGTCATGGTACGACAAGGTACTCTGTCCAATTCACACGATGGACTCAGGCATTTTCATGACTAATGTGAACGCTGCCAATCTCCAGAAAACCTGAAACAAATTATTTAGGGGGCCATAAAAAATTTACAGTGCAGTCTTCCAATTCAGAGGTTTACCACATAGTGGAAAGTGCTAGAGAACAGGAGAAAGTTACTACATAAAACTCAGGACAAAGTACTTTTACTATTGTTTTCACATGAAAATTAACAGTGAAAGCTTATACAAGCCTGCACTAGTCACAAGCAAAAATCATCAGTATTAGCATGAAAGCATGGCAATAAATCCAAGACCAGCTGAGCAGCCCATACACACAGTCAAATTTCAGGCTGTGCATATTATTTGAAGTGTAAGGACAAAACATACTGCCACAAAATTAGCAAAACAGTCAAGATTTTGATAGGCTAGAAATTGAGAAGAGGATTCAAAAGAAGAAAAAAAAAAGTTTAATGTGATCCTCCTGGTGCTTGTCAAGTTTTCTATAATCTTCTCACACCAGAACCTGTTTTTCTGCACTCATGCATGATAAAACATGTTCAATAATTAGCTGTGATCAAGTAACTAAAGAAGAATCATGCTATGATAAGGAAGATACAGTGAAACAACCAAAACATTTCATTATACATTGTTAAAACAAAAATTAGCTTGGTATACATAGAGAATAATAGAAGTTTCAGATTTGAAGCTCTTTTGGCATACACATTCTGTTTCTAAATTGGGATTATTACCTGGTTAATGTGGTTTTTTAGGGGAAGGAACAATGTTAAAAATGAAGTCGTCAGAGTTTGGTTGCCAGATGCTCAATAACTTACAGCCAGAAGCTTCAGTGAATGTCAATAACCCAGCAATGATACCAAAACTTACACATCACATTTGACAAGTCCCATTCTGTTGCTAAGTTAAAAAGAAAAAAGGTTCTCTCCAAGAAATCAAACTTTATGAATCTGCAATAAACCATTTGGAAATCATTGAATGTATACACGACAGGAGAAAGGCCACCAATGAGCAAACAGCTCATTGGTGGCAATGAGCTTTGTTGTGTGGGCTCAATAACTCAAAGCCAATCATGGACAGGGAGCAGCACAATGCCTTAAGACACAGTTCATACATGCAACTTAGAATGAGAGAGGTTGCAAGTTGACCAGTATGCCAGCATGAAGTTCTCAATTATGGAAGGCAACCATTGACTAGCATACCATCTTACAACAAGCAAACAAGGAAGATCCTTATGTTGTATGCAAGTGTTTAAGTGGTACTATGGGCTCAAAGATGGATGTGAGCAGTTGGAAGATGTTTCAAGTACTGAATGTCCATAGATACCAAGCAGTGAGAACATCGTGAGGAAGAAAGATGGTATGCTAATCACACCAATCTGAATAAAGCAACACCAAGGTTAGGGGGGATTTCTGTGGGCAGTTACCATTCAATTCACATTCCTGGTTAAGAACCCCTGGGTTAAAGGGTATAAAGACCATTTGTGCAGAGCTGAGAACTGAATGGTTTGCTAGACAATGCTCCAGTTTATGAAATAACCATTGTGCAATAGTTTCCACTAAATGAGACTGCAGTGCTCTCACACCAGCTACTCTTCTTGATTGCCTCCTTGCAACATTCACATCTTCCAAAGTTGCAGGCCACTGATTTGATACCATGGAGGAAATACAATGAACCAATAATTAAGCTAAATAGGTCAGAAGAACAGAGCTGCTCCCATGTTTCAGGGCTCTGAACACCCAGTGGCAGAAATGGGTTACTATAGAGGGACACAACTTTGGAGGTAACTGCAAAGCAAACAGTAGTAATACTGTCTGTGCAATAAACAAAATCCAACACCTTTTGGAATCTACTTTCATAAAACATGGAGCTACAAAAAGAGAAAACTCTAATGCTAATTTCTTTCTGGATGAGAATAAGGATGGATTCAATTTGAGGGGAAAATATTAATTTGTCTCTTATATTGTCACAACAGTTGGGCTATTTTCCCAAGAGAAAAAAGAAGCATAAAGTGTTGTATCAATTACATTACAGGGGAATTGCAACATGAACTGAAAACTCCATTTCAAGGGTGCAATAATTTCTACCATAGCAAGATTTTGAGGATCTAGGATGTTGCTACCACTACACCACAGTTATACATCACAATTAACCTCAAGATATTGACTAATAAATAATTTTGATGCTGAAGAATAATATGCTTTAGGCCTTGTGATCTCAATGGCAAGGAACAAAAGCAGGTTGTATGGCATCATTCCCATGAGGAATGCATTAGCAACCCCCATCTCTCAAAATAGAGAGACTGATGCTTATTCACAAGACAGTGAAACTGAAAGATTTGTCTTCTTGTTTTTAGGGAAATGAACCTGTGCCTCACCGTTGTGCTTCATGTAACATGGTTGTTTCTGGCTGTGCCACTGAACCAGATTAAATTTATTTTCAGTAAGTGAATTTATGGAAAAAAATTTCATTGCACATTGACTTCTACTTGCAGGAAGTTTACTAAGATTACACTGAACCTTAAAAGTGCTCATGTTCCTCATTTTTCATATCTTCAAAGGACCAAAGCATGGATGGTCAAAGAACATACGAGGGCCACTCAATAAGTTATCAACCTGAATATGAAAGCGATGAGCAACAGGCCTGTGCCTGCTGTGACATGTCTCGACAGGTCTCGTGAGTGCCCCACCTCAGGAAAGATCATGGCCACTGTGTTTTGGGACGGCGAGGGACTACTGCTGCTCGAGTTCATGCCAGACGAGTGTACAATCGCTGGCGATTCCTATGCTACCACCGTGAAAAATTTACACGATGCCATCAAGGAAAAACGCAGAGGAAAGTCGTCAAGGGGGGTCCTTCTTCTCCGTGACGACGTGCCCATCCACAAATCATGGAAAGTTCAGGCAGCAGTGAGGGAGTGTGGTTTTCAGGAGCTGAACCATCCTCCCTACAGCCTGGATCTGGCTCCTAGTGACTATTTTCTGTTGAGACACTCGAAAAAATTTTTGCAGGGAAAAAGATTTTCGTGCAATGAAGAGCTGAAAGTTGATGTTTCTGATCGGTTCGATGGACGAGAAGTTGACTTCCATTCCTAGGGAATAAAATCCTTGGAATCAAAGTGGAATAAGTGTGTTGAGTNGCAAGTTACCATTCCCTCATGCAGAAAATTGATTTTTAAGGAATATTTGCTTTTGTATGAAGAAGCTCTCATAAATTCCTCAATTTTCTTTCTTATTCAGGTAGATAACTTATTGAGTGACCCTCGTACTAAGAGGTAATCAGTCATACGACATATTAAGTCATGTACTGAAAATGCAGGGCCAGGCTTCAACTAGGAATGATACTTTTTCCCATCTGTGTTCAGGCAATCATGAATAGGTGACTAATTTTCTTATTATAAACACCTCCTGCTACACAAAAGGAGGGCTTAAATCTTCAAACACTAAGGAAGGACAACCTGTAAATTAAACAACATATTTCATTTAATTTTATCTACTCTGCATCTAAGCCATGATATCCTATAGGACTGAAAAGTAGAGCACAGGTAAATCATTTCATTCATCTCAAGAGAAAAAGACATTACCAAAACAAAATTTCATTTTTAAATCTTACATTGAAGGAAAAAAGGGAAAGGGAAGGGTAGACATGCAAGAGACAGGAAGATGTAGCATTCACTCATGAGTCCAAGTAATTCACAACCAAAACTCTCATATCAGTGCATCTTAAGTAAATAGCATTTCCATTATCACAGATTTTTGTTTTTTAATTCTTGAAGAATGCATAATCATCAACCCATAACAGCAGGCACAGAATTGGACTACCTCATGAGCATGCTTCATTCTATTTCCACTATAATCAACAAACTTCAACATTATAAAAAAGACAAAAGAGATGGAGAAACATGATATTTACTGCTCAACCAATGATATCCACTTATTGCTGCAAGTCTGACAAAAAGGGAAATATACAATCACTACCATATATCCCGTTCTTGGAATAGAAGAAAGAAAATTGAGGAATTTATGAGAGCTTCTTCATACAAAAGCAAATATTCCTTAAAAATCAATTTTCTGCATGAGGGAATGGTAACTTGCTGCCCTTCAGAAAATGTGTCAGATTGCATGTTTGTCATTTTGTCAGACCTGTGATTTGAAATCTTTATGAATGCAACACCATCACAGAATAGCATTCTGAAATCATAACATTTTCTTTTTTTAAGGAACAATGCATAATCTACTTCCACAATGGCAGGCATAGGATAACCCTTAGGATGCTCTGATAAATTAGACTGTTTCACCATACCTTCAATTATACTTAAAATTCTCAACTTGAAGTAAAAGAGATAGTCTGGATATGTATGAGAGGGAAAAGTGAGATTCACCCAGCAATCCTGCAATTAATGAAACTCCTGTATTAGCTCATCACAATCAAGGAATGGCAATTCCACTATCACAGGTTTCTTTCTAGAAAAATACATATGCAGCATAACCAATATATCAATTTGAAAGTAGTACAATGTACCAGGAAATCTGGGAAATTACAGCATCTATTCTTTCAGTTGGAAACATACCATCCCATAAAGAATGGAGATACTTGGAGGCCACTTTACGAGTGTATACTTGGAAGGAAGCTCGGGTTGCATGAACATTGATATCCAGGTCTTCATAAGTGGTGCCTAGAAGAATGGCAGATTGTGGGTACAGTGTGTCACTCTGGTTTGACAGTACCACTAGAGGAGAGATGAATTCAATGCTTTTCATTCTCTCAAGACCATCCAGAATATGTAAGTGATATAACTGTGTCTGGAGGAATGTCTTTACCACTTCCATTGACTTGACATCTTCAATTGGAACTCTGACTCTGATGTGAAAGAAATTTTCGTCTTTGAACACTGTTTCCAAGCACTGGCTCACAGATGACACAAAATCCTGCACTTGTGAATCTTGTTCTTTCCTTCCAAACACTAGCACTGTTGCTGGAGTGCTAACGTTTGACTTGAGTATGCTCAATCCCATTGCCAACACTGTTGTCCATGTCATGCTATGCTGTAGCCAAGGATAGCCTCGCTGCAGTTGTCTAATGCATAGTCTGTACTTATATGGAGCAGATTCATAAGGAAAGTCTTCTTCAAAGAATCCTGGAGGGATCTGTTCTTCAAGCAAATTTGCATGGTCCACATAACTTATGTAACAGCAAAACCCTACCATTACAAAAAACAGGAGGCAAATTATGCCAATGATAACATAATCTTCTTTTGTTAGGACATGTTTTGATGCTGACAAATTCATTGGCACTGGAGTCTTTGTCTGATGAATTGGAGGTCTAATTAAACTCTTACAGTTCAAATTTATTACTTCTAGAACTCTCCTCTTACCAAGACGTGGCTTGCGCTGCTTCCTTCCAACATGGACATGATCCTGATCAGTAGCATTCATCAATGATGGACAGAGATCCCTTTGACTGCCACCATGCATGGAAGCTTCATCACTTTCACCTTTAATCTCACTATCACAATATTTAACAGGGGATCTGGAACCATCTACAGATGATGAGACCTTGGAAGGTGAACATTTCCCCTTCTCAGGACTTGAAGTTCTGGATAAGGAGAGTTTTGGACTTGCACTTCCCATCAGAAGTAGTTGTGTGCAAATGCAAAAACCTAAAGAATGAGCACAGGAATGTAATCAATAATCTCCCAAGCAGTGTAAAGCACAGGTCTTCATATCAAAGCATGATGCAATCCTATGTCTAGTTCTAGAGAGTTTTCATTTTCATCTTCAATTTCTCACTGCCCACTGTCCAATGCTGTTAGATGCAGCAAGGGCTTTCAACTGCAAACCATGCCATATCCATATTGAGAAATGTTGATGAATAAATTTTTTTAAACAAAGTTATCTATTATATATATGAAGTCCTTCAGGTCCACCTTGCCCTCAGAATGGATAACAGGCCTATCATCATACAAGAATAACACATTTGTGGATTTAAGTAACATAGAAGGTCCATTGCCCATATCCCAATCCAGGTGCAGTTCAGGACTACTTCTGGGAACAAAAAAATTGTATTTTAATAGACATGAACCAATATGCATGTTCTTTAGTCTCATACTTCTCAACAACAACGAATCATTTTCATAGCTATTTCAATACTGTCAACCCATGACCATCACTACTGGTGGTTGATATAGTCCTATCAGCAGTACCAGCACAACCCATATATTTAAAAATAGCAATTTCTGCAAAAATGAAACTTAACTTGCCCAAGGAAAAAAATCTAAGGGAGCAATTACAGAAATACCATAAGGAATGTTGAAAATATCATTAAATGAAAATGCCATGAGATAGCCTGACCTTGGCCAAGGGCAGAAGGCACTGTCTTCTTATTCACTTCTTTTGAGAAAGCTCCCTCTGCATCCCACAGTTCCATAACACATTTTCTTCCACTGAGTCATACCTCATCCCCATCTAGTAGTAAAAAGATAAGGTTATGTTCATAAATCAAACATAATGGAGGAAGAAGAGAGAGCAAGCTGGTTTTCCAAAAGGAGTGGTCTAAGCATTCTGAACACAAACACAGGAATTGTTAGGAACTTCATCATCACCTTGCTCTCTGAATGTACAATTGCTCAATGCTTGCCACATTTGATTGCAATTACACACATTGCATTTCTGTGTCTATTGCATAGATAGTTGTAGCTGTTGGTCCCTATACTATTGAATACCTCCTCATAGTATACGTACAACTTTCCTGAACTTGAGAAAAGGCATGAAACAAGTTAGTTTCTCCATAGAATGATGCAAAACCTTGCTTTGCATGAAAAACAGTCATGTCTGACTTCAAGTGTTCCTGACATGAGGGTTAGAACTGTCTTAAAGTCCAAAATATTCAGCTATGTCAAGCAGTATCTTAGTTCTAGCTATATCATACCAAAATCAGCCATAGACAGCTTAATCTCAATGCAAACCAGAATGGCCACAGATAACATGCAAATATGTATAGGGGGGACACTGATCAGAAAAATACTGCATGAACACTGGAAAGCCAGAGATAGGGTGGAAAATTTGCAATATATACAGTATTCCTCTTTTTGCTTTCCCCTGGTTCACAACCATTGTTTTTTTTTCTTACTAGATATGAAAATTGTTACAATAATTCAAAACATTTCAACCCATCCTAAAAGATCAATTGGGAATTATTATTAAGGCCAATATAATCTATTTTCCAGTCATAACTGGTAAAGGCAATGAAAGGCAGCTTCTTTTAGTATCTTTGCCAAACTTGAAGAAATATAAATATCAAATTTAAATCAGTGAAGAGAATACCTGAATCATTTGAGGTATGATCTCACCAGTGCTGAATGTATGATGATGTGTGGCATCACTCCCATTAGGAATGCACATGCAACCCTCACCTCTCTGAAGAGAGATGATGCTCAATCTCAGGATTGGAACAGAAGACCTTCCCAGTTACCCAATGACTAGGACAAATATGCCTTTAGGTTCATTCATGAGTTGCAGTGCATAATTCAAATCACATTTTATTCAAAAAGTAACCTCAAGATAGAAAAAAGTTAATTGCTGTGGGCTTGTACACGAGATGAAGAAATGTGATATGCACTCAGCAATCCATATAGACCATATTCATTCATTCAGGAAATTCCTACATCTGATAATAAAAAAGCAAGGAAATGAATTTCAATAATCACAATTTCTTTGCATCATACTAAAGAGTATGAAAACCCAATATCAGTTTGAAAGCAGCACAATGTACCTGGCCATTCTGGCAATTAGAGCATCTATTTTGTCAGCTGGAAACACACCATCCCATAAAGAATGGAGGTACTTAAAGGCCACCTGCTGGGAATATACTTGGAAGGAAGCTCGTGATGCAGTAACATTAACATCTAGATCTTCATAAGTAGTGCTCATAAGGACTGCTGATTGAGGATGCACTGTGTCTTCATGATTTGATAGTGCTATCAAGGGGGTGATGAACTTGAGGCTTTTCATCCTTTCAAGACCTTCCAGAATAAGAACATGGGAAGGTTTCATGTTGAGGAACATCATCATGGCTTCAATCGACTTGACATCCTCAGGTGGAGCTCTGACATTGACATGAAAGGAGTCTTTATCTTTGAATGCCATTTGCAAGCACTGGCTCACAGATGATACAAAAGCCTGCACCTGTGACTCCTGGTATTTGCCTCCAAGCATTAACATTGTTGCTGGAGTGCTTGCATTCTGCTTAAGTATGCTGGAGCCAAGTGCCAACACTGTTGTCCATGTCATATTGTGCTGGGGCAAAGGATACCCTTGCCTTAGTTGTTGAATGCACATCTTGTATTTTTCCCGTGCATATATATATGAAGAGTCTTCTACAGAAGGTGGGATCTGCTCTTCAAGTAAGTTTGCACTGTCCACATGATTTATGTAACAGCAACACCCCACTATCACAAAAAACAGGGAGCAGATTATGGAAATAATCCATGCATCTCCCACTGTTATTCCATGCTCTGAAGTTGACCTAGAATGCATTTGCCCAGAAGACTTTCTTGGGCGAATGGCAGGCCTGTTTGGACTCGTATGCTTTGAGCGTATGCCTTCTGGAGCATCTGATGACATTTTCTGATCACTTCTACTCATTTCATAGTACTGATCAGAAACACTCCCCAATGATGGATAGAGACGCTCTGGACTGTCTTTGTGAGTAAAATGTTCCGTGTCACTTTCAGTATTGCTCTCACTATCAATATATGTAAAAGGGGATCCAGAACTGTCTTCAAAGGGGGATGATCCAGAACTATCTTCAGTGAGGAAGCCTTTGGAAGGAGTCCATTTCTCCTTCCTACCTCTTGACATCTTAGTTACAGGAGTTCTTGGGCTTCTACTTCCCATCACAAGTGGTTCTGTTCAAGTTCTATAACCTACAAGATGAGCACAAACATTCAATCAGTATTTCTGCACAAGGCACCATTTAAACATTAACTTCCTGAGAGTCCACAGTTCCATAGTAGGATTTGTAAAGAAGGGCCACTGTGGAGACTGCCAGGTCAGAGGATGTTATGGGTATTCCATTTCCATCACAACCAGAAGAAACTGATTAACTAACATTGTCTGCAATGGCTCAGACAGTTGTCATGCTAGATTGATCTTGACAACTGTTACATTAATGTAATTATCTTAACACTGACAAGCAATATCTTGCATACTAAGCCTATTCATATCATTTAGTCCTAAGCATTAAATGAAGATTTTTCACGATTTGTAGGCTTACAGAGATTGAGGAAAAAAAGCACATAGCTGCATAGGTCAACACTATAAGTTTATTAAATGTCTGGGTCAAAGATGTCTCTTATTTGTAACCATGGAGCCAGCTTTTTTATTATCTCAAATTCTCATCACAGTATTCCAGATTATGCAGTATTTTCAGGCTTCAGCTGAAAAGGAAAGGCCTGAGGTGATCGTGTTTTTAGTATAAGATCAGTAGAAAGAAGAGGGAATTTTCAAACCATGTCTCTTCCTTCAATAGCCCTTCCTTCAAATCCACACCTTTAACCCTTCATTGCACCAAGTCCATGATTTAGACCATACCTGATCAAAATCTTATACATTATGGCTGAAGACTTGTTCCATGAAGATTGGGAAACTCCTGAAATGCTCATGTTTTCATTAGTGAAAAGAATAAATTTGTATAAATGTATACTTGCCACAAAATAGGAATATTTTAAAAATATTATGCCAGCACCATAACTGAATCAATGCATTTAGCCCATTTTGGCACAATTTCCTAATATTTTTTTAATACTACATATTATTAATAAAAATGCTCTTGCACATATTGTACTACATCTTTATCTTACATCTTTGCTGAGCCTCTTCTAAATTTTACCTGTTGCAGCTTCCTTTTTTGCACTTTTCTCCCATTTCAGTGAAAACCCAAAATTGTCTTAAAAGAAACCTAATTCTGGCAGTTCTGTATAAAATACTTCCTTTCAATCCCATAAGGATAATGCATTTTAAAGATGAGTGTTTTCTCCAAAGCCTCCATAAGTAGGCCAGCCAGGGCCTACATGCCTACCAGCCAAGGGTCCTCATCATGTCTGAGGCAACTTCCACTTACAATTTACCATGATGAATTGCACTGCTCTTTTGAAACTTTTCTAAGATAATGTAGCCTTGTTGGACATATGTGGATCCCACACTTCATCAGCATAATCTAGAATAGGCTGCACTAAAATTAGTACATTGCCATGGACTCAAGGTAGGCACTGTTCGGTCTTGGTAGGCCAAGTGCTCTGCTTCTTCTGCAGACTAAATTACTTACTTTCCCCAAACGAGATCTCTATTCATGGCTGGAACATTCATTGGCTTTTTAAATATAATGCTTTACAAATACATTCATCACTGATAAGGAATCCTCGACATAAGAACAGACCTTTCACAATCTTATACTTTTCCGGCTTCGTCGCTCTGACGTTGTACCTGATGGTCCTATCATGCACAAAGGCCAAGAGAATTCGCTTTTGGTTCATGAAAAGGTTACTATCACAGGAGGCGACCATGTTGAATTGAACCTCTCGAGACCATCTTCCGACCATCCCGAGTGACTTACCCTATCAGCAAGAACAAGCAGTTGCAACCAGCAAGCAACTAACATCTAAATCTCGCTAAGTCTAATGTAGGCCAACCGCATCAAAACAGAGCCAACATATATATGACTGCAGCGTGAACCACCACGGGGGGAACAAGACCAGGTACCCACCATGTCTTCACAGTGTTGCCATGCAACTGCGACTTATGAGCTGTCACCCGATGAGGACTGCAACAAGTGTGACAGTGACAGTAAGAATGTAAGGTACTTCTTGAGCTTTAAAAAGCTTTAAAAGAAAGAGACTAGAATAGAGGAGCATCCCTCACCATTTCTTCCCAGTGGCGTATTTTGGGAGCCCCTAAAAGTGTCTCTAAGGGATTTTCTTCGTCCCCGAGGACATGACTCAGCACCACCCTACCCCTCTCTGCTACGCTGTTCACCTTTGGCTCATAAGCCAAAATACCTCACTCCTCTTCCCCCATCCCCACCCCACGATTTGAGTATATCCTAGATTCTACCGCTCACGTAATGCTCCCTGGTCCTCAACTGGGCCTGGGTGACCAGAGTGAAAAGGAGGAGGAGGGGAGGGTGGCGGGGAAAGGAGACCTCAGCAAACCCTCTCTAAACCGGAAGGGTAAAGGAGATTGAAAGATTCTCAACCATCCAACTTGAAAAACTTTCGTGCGCACATGTTGACGAAGGGGAAAGAACCCTTCCCCCCTCTCCTCGCTCACCGTCATCCTTTCTTTTCCAACTTTGCTTTTGGTTATTCTTATTTTGATTATTGTGGCAGGCATGCCTGTGCCGTTTCATCGGCACCGTTCTCTGCGAGCGGGATCATCACGCGACCTGGAGAGATACGAACGACGGCCAACATCAGCTGTTGGTTTCATTTCAAGTGAAAGGAGAGAAATGTTTGAAGTCTTTGCTTCTCTTTTTATCCTTATTTCCATCTCTCGCAAGACTCTTCTGGAATTCGTTTCTAAAAGCCTCTCGTTACTGCGGGCGTAGATTCAACGTGAGTCCGACACCGCAAATCGATGAGTACTCGTGATTAATTTCATATACGTAATGGAAATACGGAAGATGCGGATCGCCAGTCTCGAAGATCGGTGAGAAGGAATTGCAGGAAAATAGGACGGTCTGCCTCGTGCCGGTCGAATCCAGTTCCCGAGTCGGGTTCGCATTGCTTCGTCCATCGGTTCGCAAAGACAAATCGTAAGACACCGGAAACGGCCTTTTCTCGGTCCGAGCAGGCAGCCCGGTTCATCGAGTAGCCCATGCAGAGAGGCGAAATAGGCTGGGCGAGTTATTAAAGAAAAGGATTTTGCTCGGGGTGGGTAAAAACTTTCGAAAGATCCGAGAGCACGGCAGAGTGCATGGGTTCGAGTCGATCTTGCACCGATCGTCGACTCTTATTTTGGAATTTAACCCTTAAACGAGGACACAGGTCATGTAACGTTTCGACGATCGAGAAAAAGCACCCACCGGATACGTAGAGGACGCGGAAAATACTCCCCCGTGAAGGAGTTAAACGTGGTACCAATTTACACCGTCGAATCGACGACAGGACTTTGTTGCGCCGTTCGAGAGGCAACCATGGGATCATCTCATGCGATCCAAGGGATCATCCCATGGAAGCCATTCTTCAGATAGCGCCGAAATACACGCCTCCAAGATGAGCCAGGCGTTGCTTGACGTCACTCGGCTTGGCGAAAAAAACTTCCCAAATAATTCTCTTCCGAGGTAATGCTTGTGCCTATTCCGTACGAAACACGATATCGATCGAAGACGAAAAAGGCGTTAAGGTGTGATCGTCTCGTGCGCCACCTTATGTAAGCATTTCGAGGATGGAGTCCTACGAGGGCTGCTCTCAGTTTCTGGGCTCACCTGGTTGCGTATTTTTTATGCCATAGTTCTTGCGTTGTGCGTTAATTTAACTAAATTTCTCTTCGTAGGTCAATTTCAAAGTAATTTTGGTCATTGCTTGAAAAGAAACAGAGTGTGAAACTTTTGGGCTTAATAATTTTTATGAATGGAAATTGAACCGACGAGAGCATTTTCGTACCATCATCTATTCTGTTCTTTAAACTCGTTCATCCGGAAGCAGTCGCAGGGTCGTCTCCGTGGTGCTCTTCGAGGAGTCTTTTGCATCATATTCCACTGTCGAATTCGGTTTTGAGAATTTCGTCGGGAATTCAGTCTTCGACGAAACACTTTCTGCAAGTCCAGGAGAAACTGACGACCGTGCAAAGAAATGGGCTCCGGCCGGTCCTCGCCGATCCCACCGAGGCGCCAAGACGCTCTCGACATCGGATCGGCTGCAGTAAATGCGATGATTCGTGATCGCCTGGGGTCGTGGGACCTCTTCTGCCGTCGGGGACCCCACGAAATCACGGAGGCCCAGAAAGCGCCCAGGTTTTCTTGGTGTCGTTTTGTGCTTCACGAGAACAAATCGGGACGGTCAAAAACCGTTTCTGAAATCGTGACAAGGGAAAATACCCAATGCAAAACCACGATCCAAAATAAAAACGATAAGCCTCGGTTTTGGTACTTCCAGAAGAGCCTCCAAAGGAGATTTGCCACGGTGTCCCCGTGGCAAACGCGTAGGGCCGATTGCACGAACGATGTCTATTTTAGACATCGATCATCGATAGTCATCGTTTAAACATCGACTACGAAAGCATCGGTTAACCGCTGTCTACTTTCGATCGCGCGAACGATCCCTAAGCCATGTTTTCATAGCCGATGGTTAGACGATGGCTAAACACCCTTCGTGGTACGTATAGCACGTTCCGACTCCTCGGTTGTCGCGTGATGCACTTCGGACTCCACAAATAACGAGCGAATCGTGTGAAAAAGGAGAACCTTTCCTCAGACCATTAAGTACATCTCGCAGAGCTCGCAAAGGAGAATCTCGCGATAGAGAGAGACACGATGCACTTTGATCGCACGATGATGATCGTGCCTGGAAAACGACGAGTTCGCCTCTGACCTCACTCTGCATTTCGAGACATCAGAAGTAAAGCCAAGGGTTCGTTTTGGACACACGGAGAAGTAGGAAATGCGAAAAAATAGGAGTACGATTGCAAAATGAGGATATTCGAGAATCGCGTGTGGATCCTGGTCACGCGATGACAACATCGAGAAAAATCCGTCCGCATCGCGCACTGCTTGGACATCCACGAAATGGAAGCATTTGCGATCGATAAAAGTCGTCTGGGCATTCCATTCGAGTACGACAGTCGTCGATGACACCGATCACTCCTGGAAATCCGACGATATCAAATAATTACATTCGAGCAACTACTCCGTTTTTCCTCCTAGGAATGTAAAATGAGTGATGCAAATGGGCAATGGCTTGCGCCATTCCATTTCTAGGAATCGCCGCCACATAAAATCGAAGGGTCAGCATAACGTGCAAATCGAAAGGCTTTCGCGATACTTTACTTTCGAGTCGTAATAATTAATTACTCAGGGGATGGGTACTCGAACGAAATCAGGATTCATTGCACACGAACAGTGATTGCTCTCATCTGTCCACGTAAAGTTAAGGGATCCCTTCCACGATCTTCGTTCCTTTCGAGTTTCGCGCGAAGCAGGTCGACATCATACCCTCATCTCTTTCCAAATTGGTTTCTCACGCGGAAGTTCTAATCGACATATTCTTGAAAGGGATTAAGCCCAGAACCTATGTTTATTCCTCGCATGCGACGACGAGAGCCGATCGTCGTTATCGAGCGAATCCATAAACAGAATCCATCGTGCTTCACCGGAACACTGCAGCGCTATACTCATCGAGATGGTACACGAACGCTGGCATGAATATCGGCAAAACATGCCCCATCCCTCGTCTGGAAACGACACCTTTTTCGGCTTCTGTTAGACATCCCTCGTATATTCATCGGGGAATACATACGGTGATGAGAACTCGCGAAAGTGCGTTCCTTCCGTTGCTTCTGCACTTTACGTAACGTTGTCGGAAGCGGGAGCCCTCGAGCACCGTCCATCGAGGTGCTCAAACCGGTGCGTGGAAATAACGCCGAAAAAAAGAGTACCGAAACGGAAGTACGTCGACACGGAATAGCGCCAACCAAAAAAGGGGAGCGACACAGAATGACGTCGAAAGGAACGACGTCTTCGCGGAACGGCATCGAACCGAGAAGAAACTCGACGGTTCGTGCAAAGGCAAGGAGCAGCGCGGAACGTATTTACCGCGACAAAACTGCACTTCGCATCCGAACCGACGAATACGCCGACGCAGAGTGACGAAGGTGAGCACGTCGCGACGCGGAACACGTGGACACACCGGCACGATGGTGCTGGGATGAAGGTGGTTCTTCTCACGGTATCGCGTGGACGCGACACGCGCCGTTTGCAAGAGAACGGAGGACTGGGCGACCGAGGACGCGGAGGGACAAACGAACAGATTCTGGATCCCACATCGTTTTCCACCATCGATTTTCAAATCGTCACGTTTCCGAGAGCGTCCAAATGATCTGCTTGGAGAAAGGAAGGACCCGATCGACATCCATCGAAGTTTCGCTCCCGTGGATCCCTGGATCGCCCTACGATGTTCGAAAGGAGCTGGGTAGAACGACCGTGATGGTGGAGACAACCCAAGTGGCACGTAGGTGGTGCGCCGCCACCGACATCCGGGGAAGAGAGCCGGTAGCCCACCGACTTCACTGGGTTGTGGACCACCGGGTACATGTCAGGAGTCAGGAGTCAGGAGAGTTTGTCCCTCCGCGTCCTCGGTCGCCCAGTCCTCCGTTCTCTTGCAAANTTCCCTATCATATTCTCGATCATCTCCTCGGTGATGGAAATATCCTCGATGCGAGCGGAGGTCACCTCCTCCAGAGTCGGTGCCGAGTCGGATTCCACAGTGAAAACGGACGCGAAGAACTCGTTAAGTATACTGGCCATACCCTTATCGCTTGCAATCAACTCCCTCTTTTCATTCATGTCCCACTGGCCCGCCACCTTCCGGGCTGCTAGAGGACCAGCACATTACCACTTAGCTCGTTCGTGGTATACCGCCTGCTGGGAAGGGTCCTATTGCCTCCATGTATATCCACGTATATGAATTCAAGGGGTGAAATAGAGTCCCTACGGGTACAATATACAGTACTTCATATACGTGATTTGCCGTCGAGAGAGTTAAGTCTCTACCCTCCCCTAGTCCCATACACTTCTAAATACCCATACTTAACTTCAGCATTCGATCATTCCCCGAGTCTTATATTACAATCAAACCACCATAATTCTACGCTTTCCTAGTATCTACTCATAAACCGCACATTAAAAAGAGAAAAAACAAGGAAGAAACCCTTTTGCTATATCGGGAAGACAGGTACTTCGTGGCATTTATAGGGTACAGGGAACGGGTGTATCATCTAGTGGGGATTCCTGGTACTGTATCTGGGAAAGTGCCAGCTACGTTACGATGAGAGAGCTGGTGGCCCTCTACCTACAACAGGTAGTGGGCCAGCAACTGCATGTTCCACTTTGCCGCCACGTTCCCTCCCCGGGCAGAAATCCGCCAGTGTAGTGCCTGGGCCGCTCGTGGCTCACAACTTTTGCGCTCCTTGGGAAGCTTCAATCATTGCAATCGTCTTCGAAAAAGATCATGCAAGCCCGAAACTTAACGAAAAATGATATCTACTGTGGAAAACCCGAGTAGACGGGTACGATGGGATGGTGAGACGTCCCCCACGAGCGGCACGGTAGGATGGTGACA